ACTCATCCTATTCACTCATCTTTCATTGCTCCAATATTCATAAATGTCTAAGACTTATGCTTGAGCTAGTGTATATAGGACAGGGAAATTGTTCTCAAGTGGTGATGTTCTTCAAAAGTCACCAACATGGAAGTTTGGCTTACATGGTGAAAAATATTTGTGTTATTTTATACCAAAAAAACAAAACAAAACAAAAACATAGCTGGGCACAGTGACACATGCTAATAATCCCAGCAGCTAGGGGGGCTGAGGCAGGAGGATCCTGTGTTCAAAGCCAGCCTCAGCAAAAGCAAGGTGCTAAGCAACTCAGTGAGACCCTTTCTCTAAATACAAAATAGAGCTGGGGATGTGACTTAGTGGTCAAGTGCCCCTGAATTCCACCTTTCTGAACTTTCTGAACTATTACTCCCCCACAAAAAAAAAAAAAACTTTCAGTGTAACTTAGAGTTCAGTATTTCCTAACAAAAATGTATTTTTCTATAGTCTGATCAGAGCCATGATTTCATACTTAAATAAGACAACATGGTTTGTCTCAAAGCACCAAGCATTCTGGAGCCAGCCAACCTAAGGTCTACTTGTGCCACCTACTAGCTGAGAGATATGGGACTTAATTTAATTTCTGTCAAAAATGGATGTACTGCCTAGTTGTCCATGTTTTTACAAAGTTTGAAAGAGATATGTCATGGGGCAGAATTCAGAAAGACAGTGAAAAACTGGGCATAGTGGTACATGCCTGTAATCCCAACGGCTTGGCAGGCTGAGACAGGAGGATCTCAGTTCAAAACCAGCCTCAGCAAAAGTGAGGTGCTAAGCAACTCACTGAGACCCTGTCTCTAAATAAAATACAAAATAGGGCTGAGGATGTGGCTCAGTGGTTGAGTGCACCTGAGTTCAATCCCCAGTACAAAAAAAAAAAAAAAAAAGTGAAAGAGTATCTTCTGTGTCAAGCCTGGATTGAGACTGTACAGGTAAGTCCAAAACTTTGCTCACAAGGTATATTTAATTTAGTAGGAAAAACAGGCACATGAATAAGTTGTGGTGGTCTCAGTCCTGGTGCTGCTGTGGATGTGTGGAACTGATGGAGTGGCAGCATGGACACTGGGTTAGCTGTGCTGGAAGGCAGGAAACTATCACAGCTACTTCACAGAAGAGGTGCTGGATGGTCTCTAGGAACATGGTAACTCAGAAGAGGAGGGTAGACTGAGAGTAAGGGTTTTTAAGATGAAGAACATTCCAAGCCCTTAGTGCTCCAGTGTTGAAAGTTATAAGTATTGGCTGTGCTTTCTTGCATTGGCTTTTTCTCTTGCAGTTCTCAGAATTCATGTGGCTGGGCTCTGCCTGAGGAGGTGGAGGAGACAGGCACTGGCTGCCTATCATTCTTAATCACAGTAGCTCTATAACACAGTGTCCATGTAAACAACAATATGGAAAGAATGGAATCTGTTTCATCCCAAGAAGAGATGCTTAGTGTTTCTTAAAATACCACTTTCTGTCACTGTCTGGCAGCTCCCATACTATTTTAAGTATGTCCCCTGCAGGTGTAGTTTAGACATTGCTGTCTGGAAGTTATAGAAATTCACTTCTGTCTCTAGGTCTTGACTATCAAATAATCCACTGTATTTGTTTTCATAGAATAAAAGGGTAATTATATGTTGTGAAAGAATCTGCTTCAAATTTAAGAGAAACTGGCTGACTTTTCCTGTGTAACATAAAAGGAGTCAAATTCTCTGAGCACTTCATGGTATTATTTGCATTTAAGTGTCACTAAAACTTTAAAAGGGACATTAATTGGCATAATTTAGGATAGACTAATAATTAGTCATAAGGTGTTGATAAGTCAATAGAGAATACTGAATATTTCTTTGCTTTAATTATGTAGGCTGGGCTAATAACGAGGACATTATCAGGGATTCCAGTTACTCATGAATCTCCGTTAGTAAGAATCATCAGTCTTCATCCAAGAACTATCATTACTTTCTGAAGAAACTAGTGGAAGATAAATGGTAGAGGAAAGGCCTAGACTCATTGTACAAAAGAAATACAATTAGCAAATAAGCACATAGGGAAAAAATGTTCTCACTAAAAAAGAAATGTTCATTGCAAATCTGGATGTCATTTTGTACCTATTAAATTTTCAGGGAATTAAAAACATATGATGCCAATATTTGTAAAACTAGGTAAAGCTGGTAATGATATATAACTGGCAATGTTATTGCCCCTAAAAGGTGTATATATATACATACATACACCTTTTAGGGGCAATAACATTATACAAAGCTTTTAAAAATAATGACATAAATCAAGAGTATAATGTTTGATGCATTTGGGGAAATACCTCAAAAAGAAGTTGTAGAACATGAAAAAAGTATTTGATAACAACATGATAATTATAATACTGTTTATATTATTAAAATAATAAAAGTAACTTAAATATTCAACTATAAAGGATAAGTAAATAAATTGTATCTTCATAGGAAGTAATACTATATAACACCAAAATAATAATTATAGAGCTCTTATCAGAAATGCTTAAATTATAATGTTCCGAAAAGCATAGGACATGAAGTTGCATATATTCATATATATATATATGTATATATTGAACTAAGTGAAATACACGTAGACATATTGAGTCAGGAAGATATGTAGAAAGGACGTACACTTGGCAAAAGATAGGCTCTAATTTTGATTTTGTTCCACATTTATAAGTTGTTCATTTCTGACAAGCTGTGTAAATTCAAAGTGTTTTGGTTTTTTAAATATAAAACAGACATACTCATATCTACCTTATAGAACAACCATGAGAATTAAATTAGATAACTCCTTAAAGTTTGAGAGACAGTAATGGAAGAATGGATGGATGAATATTTTTACTTTCTCCTACTTTTCTTGCCATTAATTTTTAAGTAAACTTATTGTGTACATTTAAGATATGCAACATCATATGATAAGCACATAACAGTATAAGGATTACTATCCAGAGGCAAATTAAAACATGAATCATCACACACAATTACCCTTTTTAGTTGTTTTGTTTTTGAGGCAAAATCAGCTAAAATCTACTTATTTAGCATAAATCCCAAATATAATACAATTGTATTAACTATAGTCCTCATACTATACATTAAGCAAAATTTAATCATTCTATATATCTTCTACTTTGATTCTCATTGATTTTATAATGTTTTATAATAGAAAATGCTTTTAATTTCATATTTATCACCAAAGTTGTATGCTGTGCAAAAATATACAGCTTGTGTATTGACTATATGTCTAACAAAAGAATCTAAATAGATACTCTTTTTTATTACTAAATATCTCAAAGTATTCCTTCTCCCAAATTGCTTTAGTTTATCTATGTAAAATATAGCTCTTAGTGTGCGATAGACATTGTTGTGAACACTGTATTCTGAATCCTTATAGCAACCCTACCAGGAAAGCACTATTACTATTTTTATAGGTGGTAAAAATGAGGAACTGACACACAGAGAGGTTTAATATTAAGCAGGTCACACTGGGAGATGTGGATGAGTCAGGCTCTGAACTCTGCCGTCTGGGCCCATGATGTGAGTCCTGAATGCAATCCTGCTTTTCCACTGGCTATTCAAAGCACATTCATTGAGTATCTGTGGTGCTTGGCTCTGTGAGGAACACAAAAGATAATCCTTGATTTGAAGTCATTCTTTAGGATTTAGCTCTGGTATGAAAATTCTTCTCCCCTAGCCTAGGTAAATGTCATCCATGTCATGACAAAATGCTACTCAGAGAGAGATATCCCTTCTCACCCAAAATAACCAACATTCTGAATGAAAATCTCTGCAGTCTATAACTTGGCTCTGTGTGGCAATGTCAGTGTTTTCAAGGTGTGTGCTGAGAAATCCTAGAGCTTTGCAAAGTTGTCTAATGCTCTATAAATATTTGACTCAGATTTTTCTTTATACATATGTGTATATATACACACATTCATATCCCACATATATGTGCAGCTAATATTTCAACTAAAATAATAAATTAACAAACTAAAATTAAAAATTCATTCAAATTATTTTGCTATTATATTATTATTGTGCCTTTTTCAGATGAAAGATCCACCTCCATCTCATTCTAATTGAAGAATATTCTGAGATTGCAAGGAAAATTCTTACAAATATGAAAAATTATGATAGCATGATGGTTAAGAATAATGATTCCACAATCAGATAGAAAAGAGAGATGGCATTTCAAGCACATTTATTTACCATGTGACTTTGACTTAGCTTCTAAACCTCTTTATAGTTTAATTTCCTCATTAATTAAATTGAAACTACCTTGTGGAGATATTAGAACTAAAAGGTGTAAACATATTATGCACTTTAGGAAGTGACAAAGTGAAAATAATTGCTCAGTAAATATTAGATATTACTATTTTTATTTCAACTGCTTATCTACAAAACCTTTTTTCTCTAGTTACATGCAACCAAAACAAAATTAAGAATTACATTAAATTTTAATATTAATATGCAACTGAAATTCTTATTTTTCAAGCTTATTAAATTCATCAGTTTGTTATTAATTAATTTTACAAATGTTGCTAATAAATAAATATATACCAATGAAATACTACTCGTGTTTTATAGATTGGGCTTTGAATAAAATTTTATTAGTGAAAATATTTATTAGCTCAAAAAATATGTTGAATAATAATTAAATTTATGTTTTGTGCTCTGTTTTATTCCAAGGGGAAAAATTACTTTTTCTAAGTATGTCTGTTTCTTTTTATGTCTACTTATCATTTAAAGGTTACTTTAGAATAATGCATGTTGAACTCAAATTATGAGGATATATTGACCTCTTTATCTGATAAACTGCTATATTTTTGTGAGTTATTCTACTTATCACCAAAGATTTTATCTTTACTCTCTATATTTAAATATTGGCTCTTTTCTTGACAATAAGACTATTAAAATTTGCAGATATTTTAAATGAATGAGCCATGTTCTTTTTTTTCTCTTTTCTTGCAGTCATTCCCAACACAGCACTTCGACCCGTCAGCCTTCAGTGACTCTCCAACGGGCCATCTCCCTAGAAGGGTAAGATAATAATTCAGAGTATTCTCTTAAAATGTGCAACCTTTGAACCTAAAAAAAGTGTTCCTTCCTCTTTCTCTCACATCTCTCCTCTCCCATGTCATCAGCATTTATGTAACTCATGTTATGTGCCAAGAACTGTTAGGTACTAGATTTAATAAATCAAATAAAATCTTATCTTAGCCTTCAGGAGGCTCATTGTCTAGTGTGAATAACAGAAATACAAACTCATACTTTCAATACAGTATAAGCATTAAATAGTACAGGATATATGTATAAGAGATTAATGAAGGATCCCGGAGGGGTACCTGACAGAGAAGAGGCATCAAAAGCAGCTAGGAGAGCAAGTCAGTGTGGTTTCAGAGAAAATATAACTTCTAAGGTTTTTTTGAGCTACACACCCAGCCCTATATGTAACTCTAGAGCTGAGAACTGATGCATTCATGGATATTTGCCCAACAACCCAAGTTTGTGGACATTTCTGCAAGGGAAGAGAAAAGAAAGTAGAATTTATTGAGTGCTTATTGCATGCCA